TTGATTTTGCAGTTAATGACTCATACAGCTTATTTTTTTTGGAATAAACATACAATGACTTTGCAGGTAATGATTCGTACAGCTTTATTTTTGGAATAAATATACACAATGATTTTGCAGTTAATGACTCATACAGCTTTTCTTTTTTTTTGGAATAAACACACAATGATTTTGCAGTTAATGACTCATACAGCTTTTTTTGGAATAAACATATACAATGATTTTGCAGTTAATGACTCAGCTTTTTTTGGGGGGGGGGGGATAAACACATACAATGATTTTGAAGTTAATCAATCAAACAGCTTTATTCTTTTTGAGTGCCTTAATTACTCACTCCAAACCCACACACAAACATTTTCTAACATGACTAGTAACAAGTTTCCCAAGGAAACATCTCGGTAAAAACACAATTCCCCCTATTTTTTTCATTCCTCTGTAGGAAGTGACTCAGATGTAATCTCCCAAAGGTTATCTTATCAGTAACAAATATTAACTTCCAATCAGAGCAAGCTAACCACTTAAAAGTTAAACTAAAAATAATCCTGGTAATGAGCACAGCTATTTAAATATACTTTTACCTAACATTCTTACTTGTAAAGGTTAGAATGCATTGTTTCATCAGTTCATTACCCTTGCTTTGACCGTATAACATTCCCCCCATCGTATTACTGTCACATAATAAAGTATGCTTAAACAAGCTAACTCCGACGTTAAGACACAGATTAACTGAAACTTAATAAGAAAGAGAAGACAAAGACTTGTTACAATTTTAAATAATTTCATTTCTTAACATTTCAGATGATTTTTATTCCAGCATCTTGGAAACAAAGATATTTAAAATAGTGTTTGAAGAACACGTACATTTATTTGCCTTTTGTTGTTTTATTCTGAAGCGAAATATACATTTTTAAATGATTAACATAAAATTTAACAGGTCTTTTAAACAGGCCCTTTGAAGATGGTTTATTGCCAAGAAAACAAAACCAATTATTACTGATGTATGTGTACTATGTTGTGGCAGTCTTTTATGTTACCAGTTTATTTTCAACCAGGAAAAAAATTATTTTTACTGTAAAACACAGTAAAAACTTAATGGAGGAGCTCATATATCGAGTCTCTGAAGAGATAAATTTAGACAACCTTAACTTTTGTGTAAGGGGACAGGACTGTTATCCAACCATCAGCAAAACAGCAAGTAGCAAAGAAACTACAAATAACCTCATTCATGGCATACTCTACCCACAAGTGTAGCTTGGGGAGGGGGGGGGGGGATTAAGGGAACAGTGGCAAACTTCCAAATGCATTGAAAAGTGTATATAGTAAGATTTTTTTTTGACATATTTACATATACACCGACATATATACAATGTACAAAACAGAGAAGACAAATATTTGGACATTACCATTTTTGTTCCCACACTTTTCTGTATCCTTAAGGCTTGATTATTCATTAAACATACTCAATAATATTAGTTATAATTAATTAAATATAATATTTTGCAGTATTTAAGAAATATTGGACTTAATTATCAAACAATCTTTTCTTCTGATTTAATCAAACCTTGGATACTTAATTAAGTAATTTTTTCTTGTTTTAAAAAAAAATGATAAAATTATACTTACCACAAATCTTTAATGGTGCCTCCAGTTCCAAGAGGATGGGCTGACTAAGAAATATTTCTCGTGATTTTAAACACAGCCCTCGAATTTCTGCTTCACTTAACTGAACATTTTTACCAGGACGAGAGCCTTTTACTAATGAAAAATAACAACAACAAATATTAACAAGTGTCACAACTTAAACCACTGAAAATATAGACATAGATACCAATCATCTCAAGCCTGTAAAACTTTAGATACAAAAGAAATTTGAACTTTTAAAACTATCAAAAGATTGCGGCAAAACTTGCATGATAAGAAATGTGGAGAAAAGCTACATACATAAATAAATCATTTTGACTTTCAAGTGAGCCCGGACTTGCAATCTACAGGTTACGGGTTCAAATCCCCACAACTGAAGATACTCGACCTTTCAGCAGTGGAGGTATTATAATGCCAGGTTACGGGGTTCAAATCCCCACAACTGAAGATGCTTGACCTTTCAGCAGTGGAGGTATTATAATGCTAGGTTACAGGTTCAAATCCCCACAACTGAAGATGCTCGACCTTTCAGCAGTGGAGGTATTATAATGCT